TACACTCTGTTCTTTAATCCCAACAGAATTAACTGAGTAACAGAAAACTATCTGAAAAATCTCCACATATGTGAAAATTTAAAAACAAAAACACTTCTACATAAAATAGAGATCAAAGGTGAAATAGCTTCGAAATGAGGAAGCTGGGTCAAGAATCCTCTCCCTGTTGTCTGAATTACAGAAGGACAAGTCAGTGTTGGGACTGGGGGCCCAGGAGCATCACAGGTGGCAGGCCAGGCCCCCTCTAAGGAGAGAGAGAGAGGCTAAAGGTACTCCAGGGACTTGGGAGACAGACAAGGGTGATCTCGTGCGACACAGAGTGAGACAGAGCAAGAGTGCTGCGAGGGGGCAGGCTGTGGAGCTGGGGTGGACTATGTACATATGTCCGTCCACAGACAGTGTGGGTGACTATGTTCACTTGCCAGAGCTGCCATAGCAAAGTACCACAGGCTGGGTGGCTTGAACAACAGAAATTTATTTTCTCAGTTTAGGAGGCTGGAAGTCTGAGATCAAAGGTGTGGGCAGGGTTCACTCCTCTGAGGCTTCTCTCCTTGGCTTGCAGATAGCTATCTTCCCTGTGTCCTCACATGGTCGTCCTTCTGTGCATGTCTGTGTCCCTAATTTTTTTTTTTTTTTAAACAGAGTCTCACTCTGTTGCTCAGGCTAGAGTACAGTTGTATCATCATAGCTCACCATAGCAACCTCAAACTCCTAGGCTCAAGCCAACGCCCTGCCTCAGCTCCCCATGAGCTGTGACTACACGTGTTACCACCACACCAGCCCTAACTTCTCTTTTTCATAAGGCACCCAGTCAGATTGGATTGGGGGCCCACCCTAATGCCTCATTTTACCTTATTTTTTTTTTTTTTTTTTTTTTGAGACATGAGTCTCGCTTTGTTGCCCAGCGCTAGAGTGAGTGCTGTGGCGTCAGCCTCGCTCACCAGCAACCTCAATCTCCTGGGCTCGAGCAAGTCCTCCTGCCTCAGCCCCCCGAGTAGCTGAGGGCTACAGGCATGGCGCACATGCCCAGCTAATTTTTTCTGGTGATATATAGCTTGGCCCAATTAACCACCCCTTCGCGTTTTTCTCTCTTTATAGTATGAGATGGCGGTCTCACTCCTTGTTCAGGCTGGTTTTGGACTCCTGACCTTCGAGCGATCCCTCCGCCTTGCCTTCCCAGAGTGCTCAGGATTACCAGGGTGACGCCACCGCGCCCGCCCTCACATTTTACCTTAATCACCTCCGGGTAAAAGGCCCCATCTGCAAACAAGTCACCATTATGCGGTACTGGGGGCCAGGCACTTTAGACACTATGGATTGAGGAGCACACAGTTTAAGCTACAGACATGTCTGGTGCGTTTAGAGGATGTACCTGCGCGTGTGTCTGTGCTGGGGTGAGAAAAGGCGCGCTGCGGGGAGAGATGGGACACGAGAGCCCGACAGGCTGGGCAATAGTGGCGACCGCGGGC